GGACGTTAATTGTGAAAATGAATCCATCCTGAATAAAGCGTATGCATGGAACAAGGAGGACTCAGAACACTATAAACCTCTGTCAATTAATAGTAACCAGTTTCATCTTTTTTAATAATAATAACATCAAGTGATAGTAACGTGTCACGAATCCACATGATAGTCGGGCAAAATCCATGGTGAATGAATAGAAATAAAAATCTGGTCAGCAGTCGGACCTCGTAATTCAGTCAGTAGAGCAACGAGCCGGAAACCCGGTGGTCGATGACTCGAATCCAGCCGCAGTCCAAATCTTCATTTCACCTTCAATGATCACCCAGTATAAATACTAGTATGCCAAACCACGGTTATCTCAGACAGTCAAAATAATAATTCACAATTATAAGATAGAAAAGCTATAATTTCTATAACTGTACTATATCCATCGCACAGAGAACGGATACCGTGCTTCGGTGTCCTAGCGGATATAGTTTGGGGGCTTAAATGATAATCGATAATATAATATATTGGCTTTATTCAGGACCAAAATTTGTTTACAGTACAGAATTCTCAGGCTACCCATTGTACAACAATTTACAAATATAGATTATATATGATACTGGTTAACAATATATAAGAATAACATGATTGTTGAAATGTTCAGTGACTTGATGGAAATGATAATTGTCCGCTATTGTAAAGTCAACTAATAAGACTATTTCTAACATGATTTTCTTTACACAATACATAAGGTATATATATGCTTTTGTGTACATGAAGTTCAATATATTTGCTTCTTGTCCTCCCTGAGGACAGATATGGAGAGAGGTGGGAATTTAAAAGATGCCTGTCATTAGGTAAAATGTGTCCAACCAGTTATCTCCAAGAACTCAGATGCCAATCCACAACCGCGCTTATCAGAACAGTTAGTAGTGTACCACTCACTCTACCAACAGCCTTTACTCCGAAATGGTGGTCGAATCCTAGTAATCGCATTTTCAGTATGATCTTGGAGCTCTAAGAATCAAATATGCTTTGGGCTTTATTTGACATTAATTCGTTGAGAAAAATAAGCAAGAAACACTGAACTAAGGTTTTTGCACTCAGCGATACTCATTATTAAACTTTATATCCAACCTCAATAAAACTGGAACATCTATGCATATTCAAACTGAAGTCATTCAACACTGATATGCAAATTCGTCGCTCTGACTAGTGATATCAGCTGACATGAATCTTAGGTCAACGACTGGGTGCAAATTGACTTAGAAGGCTTAGTATTTGAGTAGACATACTCAGTTGACTATTGTTATTTCTTGGGTATCTGTCATGTACAAATATCCTTTCACCTATCTGTACCATTAGTCATGTAAAACTGATTCAGACATTTTTCTTTTTACAGAATATCATGATACTAGTCAGTAATTTTAAAAGTCTGATGAAATTAAAGATAGAAGAATGATCATTGTACCATACCTAAATTCCTGTCCACTCTAACTAAGATTGAGTAACCAGAATGGGGGGGTTTTTGGATAAACAATGCATTCAAAGCACCTAAATTTCACCAAGTTTTACCTAAACTGAGAGTTACCATCAAATTGCAACTCTACGCATCATCATAGAACAGAGCATGGAATGACGGTCAACTCTCTATCTCAACTTCATTAACTTTGAAAACGCCTTCGACAGTGCCGACCGAGAAGTAATTTGGCAAATGCTGTAACACTACAGAATACCATAAAAATTTATCAGTCTCAGTCAACAGCTATATGACGATGCTACATGCCAACTGATTCACAGTGCAAAGCAGCTCAGTGATACCTTCGAAGTAAAGACAGAAAGGAGTAAGACAAGGTTGACGCCTACTATCACAGACGACCTTCGGGATTGTGGTCAACTCGACTCGACTCAACTCAACTCAACTCAACTAGATCACACAACAAACTGTGAAAAGCGAGAAGAGGGGAATACACTGGCTGCAACAATGAATCGAACTCAGAAGAAGATTTGGATTTCACCGATGGTGATTTATGTCGAATGTCTTATGTCGCACAAACTCGAAGATCTACAGATCTCGAAAACTAACAAGTTGGCAGAAGAGTCAGTGAAAACAAGACTTCCATCTGGTGAACGCAGAGAAGACGGAGGTGATGAAGATACCCATCAATAACAAGCATCAATCACCATCAACGGGAGAAATCGAAAGGAAGTTGTCTCTTCCACCTATCTGGGCAGGCCAGCATCGTTTCAACTACAGGCTGCACAGATGACGATGTCAAAGCCAGGATCAAAAAGGTAAGGTGGGCTTTCAACAATCTGAAAACAGTGTGCAGATCTACTCCACTCCACTCCACTCCACTCCACTCCACTCTAGTCAGCATAAAGCGTGAACAACATCCGGATTTTCAACACTAATGTCAGTCAGGTCAATGCTTCTACATGGTGGTTCAGAGACTTGGCACGTTACAAAAATCATTTACAACAAACTACAGACACACATCACACCAACAACTGCTGCCGCCTATGCTCACTCGATACTGACACTGAAGATCAGATGACCAGAATAGTGAAAATAAGCAACCAGGAACTCTGGCTAACTGGCAGGCAACGAACCAATCGAGAACACATCATCCAACAAATATGCAGAAGAAAGTGAAGATGGGTTGGATTGGACATACACTGAGAAGACCATTCGGTGACATCACGCTCCAGGTTAGGCCATCGAGTGGAACCTAAAGGGGAAACGACCAGTTGGGTGTCCCAACTGATGGTGACATGGAGGAGATGGTCTGTGAGGGAGAAATGAAAGCTTGTGGGCAGACGTGGAGCCAGGTTGGAAAGACTGCAGAGAACAGAGTGTAATGGAGACGTGCCACTGAAGCCTTATGTTCCAATAGGAACCCAAGATACAGGTAATAATAAAATAATATCAAAAGAATGAGTCATTCAAATGAGCAAAATGCTTTCAAAATGCAAGTGATTGAGCTGACATTTACCGTGCAATCAACTTACCGCTTATACAGAATTACTTACTCATATTTTAAATAGATTTAACTCAATTAAATACAATGCTTAAAAGCTGTTTACAAACTTCTGAAAATTTTTCATAAATTCGAAAAACAGCCTGATCCTATCGAAGATTTCCGTAGCCATTTTGCTTTAATTAGAGTGTTTGAAATTAAAATCCCCATTCATCTCAGAAATGCATCATTGTATAGTACCCATTAGTGAAATGCTTCCAGTTGGATATCGGGAAGTTCTAATGACAAGCCGTGACTTATTAGGTCAACCAGTCATAAGGGAAGTTGACGACAACAGAAGACCTTGGATGATAGTCATGCCACATTGTGAATTAACAGAATATGGAAATTTTGAACCACTGAAAACCGATGCAGTTGCTGAATGGTTAACGCGTTCACTGTAAGATTTGATGGTCCTGATTTCAATCAGTGGTGGGGTCGTAGATGCGTACTGATGAGGAGTCCCACACTAGGACAAAACAGCTGTCCAGTCCTCTCAGGCCTCCGGTGGTTCTGCGCTTGATGTCAGTCCGTGATGAATACTACCTCTAATCAATATGTGCTTTATCACAGGTTCCCAGAGAGACTCCTCAATACTGTTCCTTATTATATTCCGATACCCACTTCTGTACTATGATGTAAAGTTGAACTAAACTTCGAGGTGAGACTGAAAAAAATTCTTTCCATCGATCTAAAATCATTTTTTAACAACCTTAAACTGACATTCGTGGGAGTGATAAGTCTTTATGGAAGGCTGAATCTGTGATCTGATCGAATCATTTAAATCTTCGTATTAGTTCACAAATATCCTCCGTATTATCCACACGTTTGCTTCTCACCCAACTCTGAACTCAATCAATATCTCAACTGACTGAATCCAAATATCAGTGACACACAGCTAAATTTCACCTGCGCGCTATAAAACATTTCCCGGTTCTAATCACCATCAAGAATAACCAGGCCAGGTGCCTTAGTGTTCACTATACTGTTAGGTTATCTGTTAAGACGAGTCAAAGAAATCCATTGGATTCATTTCTTAGTAAAGCTTGAAATGAAAAGTTGTCCGAAAGATGTAATAAATTACAAAATTTAACACTTGTATATAATCGCTACAAGTTTCATAAACAAAAGTTCTAACTTATGGAAACTATGGTGACATGATTTGAAATGAAACAGTAAATCTCTTGTATTGTCAGAAACGTTTTTTCTGTCAATTACTTTTGATCAACAAATCAGTTACCCACGTAACAAAAAATCAACCATTATTACTTTTGAAAAAGATGAGAATGACATTAGTTATGAAAAAGTGGAGAATATTTGTAGGTCAGGTAGATGGTCATGGTTGTATTGTGTTCTCTCAGCTGGGTTGTTTAATCATGAAGCTTTCATTGTCTTTCTAGACAACATTATCAGCACTAACTTCAGTATGAATTAAGCTGTCAATATCTTCCCATGAATGACAGCTCATTTCATACTGAAGTTAGTGCTGGTGATGTCGTCTAGAGAGAAGATGAAATCTTCACGATTAAACAACCCAGCTCAGAGAACATAATACAATCATAACATTAATTTTCTTAAACTCTACAATTTTCATCAGTACGTCAGTTAGTATATGTGTTTACATTCTTTGGACTCGACAAAGGTTTTAATCTCCAGCTACATATCACAAATCACTTTCATTCCATATCCCATGCAAATTCATTTTAAACTTACTTTATAATCCCTGGTTATATCACATATTGAGATGAAATAAACATCAAGTAATAAAACACATTTTTGAGGGTGAGCATTTTATAAGATCCTTTATTTGTCAAAATTTTCAAAACGTTCATAATGAAAGCTGAATGTATTATTTCCAGATATTAGATAACATTATTTTTTATAGATCTAATTTATTTGTAAAATAAAAGAAAAGGTGGGAAGATGAAAATGTAGGGTACAGTTTGTTTAGAATTCATTCAGAATATCATAAATTCCAATAATTATACAGAACGAAATCAGTTAAGGATTCAAAGTTTTAGAAATTGCAGAAAATGTCTCTGAGTAACAAAGAAAAAAAATCGAAAATCGCTCTTATCTACCTTCTTTTCCACATTGTGAAACTAAGAATAATGATACATGGAATCAAGAGTCAACATTAGTTTGTTATCGAGTTAACAAGTGTTCTTTTTTTGGAGAAGAAAGGGTGAACAGAACGAGTCGTAAATAAACAAGTGTTTTTTCAGAAAAAATATTCATTTTTAACTTTCTTCATTTCGAAAGTCCAGCCAATACTTTCTTGATTAACTCTACATTGAAATGGAAGTGAGAAAAAAACCAGGAAGTAAATATTTTAGCAATAATTATTTGCCTACTCATTAGTAGACTAAGATATACAAAACAGTTAAAATATCCTTGCTACTGAACATTCATGGACAGGCTACTCATATGCCTACAATTCATAAATTAAAACTATTCGAACTATTAAAACTTACTTATAGAATAATTGAAACCGGATTGTGTAAAACTATTTATCAGTTTTCTGTAACCCTTTACTGAATCATTATCATAGTACAGAAATTATCTTCATCACTTTTAGCAACAGTCCGCCAATTACAATGTCAGTAAAATTTCCTATTTTCAGCTGGAATACATACTCATAGAAGTGTATCATATTAATAGTACTGGCGAGAGGGAAATGTTCTGGAGTACAATATTTCCGAAGATGAAAAGGTGCTATAACTGAGTACAAAATGCTGAGTCTAACAGTAGCATAATTCTTATGAAAAATGAATTTTCTAATTCGATTCTGCTCTCCATATGATGTGTACTGATAAAACTTGAACTGGAAAAAAAACCGAATTACGTCATTCCTTCATTCTTATTTCACTTCAGTAGATACCTATCTCTGTTGCAAGCTCATTTGATCCTATTAATCAAGACCTACATAACTACAAGTATGGTTTCAATCGATACATACATGGGTACTACAATAGGTACTGCAATAGTGACTAATTTAATGGTAGGTGACCTAAATACTGAATGAGTATCTTCTTACTCCAGACCAGTGAAAATCGTACCCAAAATAGACACTGCCAATATCTATGAAATTCAACATAAACTAACCTTCATATTTAATATTTCCTTCTAAATCCTCACGTAAATCAATCAACTTCACAATTAAATCTACTTGTTCATCTTCAAGACGTTCACCTATTGTACAAAATTATTAGATTTGTAACGTTAGTCAATACATTAAAAAAAACTAACCATAACCAGTTAAAACATGTCGCATCTCAGCAGCTGAAATGAAACCTTGACCTTCACGATCGAATGTTTTGAAGGCTTCCATGTAATCAGCGTATGTACCTACTTCCTTCTCTTTAAGAATAGCTTCATAGCAAGGAAGGAATTCATCGAATTTGTATTGTTTTCACCTATAAAAAGATAGACAAAGAACATAGTAGTAAGTAAATTGTAAAATGTAGTAAAAACCTAATTTTAACCCATATGTTTACTGGGTAGTTTATGGTTTTAAGTAGCATTTAGAAAACCACAGAACTGGATGTTAGTGCGATTATCAGTAACTTAAAAACTAGTAGATTGGATAACATTCATAAAGCGTCTTTAGAGTTAAGCGTTCAACTTAAAACTTAGTCAACATTTTGAAAAACTTGCTTAAAGACCTGCATATACGTATCTTTGAGCATACTACTGAAGCGTCAACAGTAATAATAATTAAGTCAAGTGAACAGGAAGAGATTACAAAAGAAGTAATTTGAATTTAATTTCCATAAAACACTTTCCCTTGACATTTATTGCTAATCAAGGAAAATTCGATGAAAACTTGACCGTATTTTCAGAAGCCATAAAAGCATAGATGATGCTTAACCCATCCTGACCTTCTTGTCAACCCACTGCTCAGTGGTTAGTTAGACCCAAGTAAGTGTAGATCAAACCACACCTTTATTATGACAAAGAATAATGATAACTCATAGCCCAGTCAGTGGCAATGGTATGCTGTGCTACAGTAAACCTCTCCTCAGTACTAAAGTTGGAGCTGCATTTGTTTTCCAAACTGAGTGTTTCGTCATAAATATTTCAAATTTTAATGTAAATGTGTACTTTTTTATTGACTTTCTAGTTCTAAAGCTAAACTGTAATTTCCATTACATTCACTAAACATTTGCGTCTCTTAAGTATCGAGCAACTGGCTGGAGTTTATACACGATCGACTTCTCTTACCCCATCCTATATACCTTGATTATAGCAGTTGTGAGTGTAAACTTTGTGGGCTGTCGCACACGTTATTCATTGCACCTCCACAACACATAATGTCTCAAGTTAGTTTAATCACGGACACTAAACGTAACTGGTGAACATTTGCTTTGTCTTTTAGAAATCACAGTTAAAGTTAACTCATAAAGGTTTAATCAAATAGTGACTTTGCTCTCAGGAAACCTATTATAAGCCTTCTGACTGTAAACAACAATCTAATATACCATGATAGGACTATTGTGAGACACTAAATACTCCTAAATTGATATAAACAGTTCATTCATACACTTGGGAATTGGTGTAGTTTTTCTGATCAAGTGAAAGATGACTTTAGAGACAGAGAGCCAGAGTCCTCTGAAGAACACCCAGGATGACTAAATTAGAAGGTGACTACCCACAACAACCTAGTATATTTTTCAGCTCAATGCCAGTAAACATAATTAGTTAATTACATCAATTCATGTAGTCAATATCGTTTACGAATCAAAAACAGGAGGCTGATGTAGTTAGCTAGCTCAATTCATATAATTTTAAGTATCATCGTGTTTACTATGAGCTGAAGTACTACCTTTGTAAGTATTGGAACTATCACCTCTACAACAAGTAAGTGTCTTATGTCTTAAAATTTATGTGAAATTATAGTCAAATGAGTTGTAGTACATAATGAGCAACAAGCATGGGGAATTTCGTAAATAAAAGCAGCTAATTACTTGTGTAATTAGTTTATACCGTCAATAGCCTTGATTGGAGGTTGTGTCTGAACAGATGATTTAGTAAGAAATGGCGAGAACTGTTGATCATCTGTAAAGACCTCTTTCTAAATTTCGAAAGAACCACAGCAACAGTGAGATAAAAAATAGTATTATTTTCTGTATTAGATCAACCTGGTCTAGACACTCAATCTATATCCATCACGTTAGGTATCTGAATTCTAGTAAACTAGTCAATGTTTCAGGTAAACAAATGATACTAACACTCCATACATTATATGTATGACTCACAGACTGGTAGGTTAATCTAACCAAACATGGGTGCTTTGCTGCATTTTGTCATCTACTTCTCCCGTAGTATCAACCATGATCAAGAAAGTGGGAAATACTGGACAACGATAAGAAGAAACAACTGAATGTGACTTTTTCTCCTGCTATTATACCCAACACAATTCCCTTAAGTAAGCAAGAGTTAAAGCGTTCGGTGATGCTTTCTAAAAGCTGAAATACAATACGGTTTCCACAGTATTATCAGCACCTAGTTTACTCTAAGTAGTTAGAGTGGCTTGTCTTATATGAGTATATATTTACATATAGATAAAAAATTTTCCCGAAACAAAAATCATTAAAAAAGCAAAGCACAATAGAACATCCATAAATCAAGTATTTCAATTAAATTCACGGGAGAAAATTATGTCCAACCTTGTTTCAGAGTGGCACCATGTTTGACTGTTAACGCGATGGTCGGATTTATTCCACTGCATCGAAGTAAATCGCCAACTTTAACCGCGTCAATCATACCATCTCGACCATCCCAGAAATCGAATAAATCGAAAACCTCTCGAATATCTAGTAAATTTTCAGCATACACAAAGAAAAATAATAGTTTAGAAAATTCTGTAATTTTCCATAAGTATTGTCAGAATTCATCAACACAAATAAATGGAGAGACCAGTAGTGAACCTTACACGGAAGCACATCAGTTAAAATTTCCACACTACATAATAGAATTTTTTTTAAAGTAACGAAGAGAGATAGATAAGTTCAACAAAATGTTGCGACAAGCGGGAAAAGGAATAAGTCGAGTTGAATATCATGTTAGATATGATATAGGGTGAAAGTATGTCACCAATAGTCTCCATTTATTGACTACATACATCTAGAAAGCATCAAATAGACAGTTTACAATTCCCTACACAGCTTAAACCAAGAACCATAGACTTCATAAGTCGGTTCAACTTCCTGATTTGTCCACTCTTAACTTTTTTCCAACTTATTCTAAAGGAGACCGACAACATGCGTGCAACTATACAGTAGCTTGACAGGTGTATAACACATGCCTAAGCTATGTCAGTAGTTAAAGATTTACGTTTCCATGAACAAACTTGCCGCTTTCACCTAACGCTCTATTTCTAATTTGAAAATACCCTACTCTGTTGTTCCACAACATGTTTTCACTAGCTTGCATCAACACTATCTCAAGGTGTTTTAATTATGTGTAGAGAAGATAATTTTGTATGAAACAAACATTAAGACAGTAGCATTTACCTTCGATTTCAGCTTTGGATAGAGAACTCTAAAACAGAAAGAATAAGAAAGTCAACAAGAATTATTTGATTAACAAGTATATTAATATTAAAGAAAAGAAATTTAACTACTGTAATATGAGAAATTACTTACCATGTTTGTATAACTAGGAGGTTGATTTGTGTAACGAACAGTAGGTAGGCAATGAAACCAAATAACTGAAAAGTTAAATATACAACAGATATGTGAAAAATAGAAAACAAGTCTTTCAGCCCATTGATTGATCGACGATTTTAGTTTAATGCCCACATATTTTCACTGGGGATAATATTTGGATTGGTTGATGACGCCCAAAGAACTAAGTATACGAACGAATAAATAATGTTTACTGTACTTGATAAAATTTGCCAGGGAAACATCGATGTAGGTGTGTTACATGTTCCATTAACACACATTCTGCCTGCCTCTGAATTAACTGTCCAATCATAAATTAGGTGAAGGTAATTATGTCTTATATGTACCCATTTCCGATCGATAATCAATCTTAAAATAACCAATGTTAAAAAGATAACTAAGTTAAGGTACACCTCCGAATAAATGGGTTTTTGGTTCATCAGAGATAGGCGTGGTTTGGCAGACTTGATACTGGGTGATGACTGAAGATGAAATGAAAATCTTGGTACCAACAGGAGTCGAGTCATCGACTTCTGGGATGAAATTGTTGAAAGTTTTAGTAAATGGTTTCAATTCTTACTATTTGTTGACATTCTTGTTGTTTTACTGGATCAAACTGTCCAAAGTTTGAATTTCATTGAAGACAACATCACTCACTGGGGTCCAGGTACGTCCAGCTGACGAGTCGTAAGTAGGAAACACGTGTCCTGGATTGTTCTGCTAGCCATAACCAAGTGAATGGTTATGATTTGTTTAAAATTAAGCAGAGAATAACGGGGAAGTAATAAATAAACACTTCGGGCACATCATTGTACTACTTAAATGAAGATAATGTCCTGAGATTACTACCTATGTCCTAAGAAGAGTGTATCACTTTTTATTAAGGTCGGCACCATATTTTAACAAAAAACAGTGTAGATACATTTCAAAACAATTGATTATGTGTTTCAAAGGTACCGAAAAATTGGAAAACATCTCTTACGACTCATAAATAATCGATTCTATATATTTCACAGTATGTTGGATCATTTAATTGTTCCATATGTTATTGAAAGCTTCAACAAAATTTTCATGTTAACAATCTCTTTTACCAGCCTTTTATACAGTTCAGTTATCAATAAATATGGAAGGTCTGAAGAGAGTAGGTTCAAGAAAATTACAGTAAGCAAGAAGCCTATTTTCACTAAACCTAAATTCAAAGGCAACGATGTAAATAAATGAATTAAAAGAGGGCGGAAAACCCAGTAAACACATTTACATCCTACGGTCAAGCTGTCCTATCTTCAGAGATAATTGTGTTACAATGAAAATTTGATAGCTTCTCTTCTTATGTTACCTATAATTGTACATACAAGAACACAGGTATCTCCCATGGCAGTTATACTGAAAGAATAAAGAGAACTCTATATTTTGAATTCTCTAAACACAAAGCAAACAGCTTACATCTGAGAGGGAACAAGTGCTTTTCAGTGGGTATATCAACAGTTTTCTCACACATATAAACTAAGTAGTAGGCGCATTCCAATTAACTTACGAGATGGAAAATGAACAAGGAGAATTACCTATGTTGGATTGCAGAGTAAAACGAAGGACCGACGGTGGTTTGGATACTACCGTCTACAGAAAACCAACACATTCTAACAGGTATCTACACTTCAAGTCATTTCATTCAATGTCAGTTAAGTCAGGTTTAGTCCAGTGTTTAAATGACAGAGCTAGAAATCTGACTAGTCAATGCAAAGACGTAAACAAGGAACTGAAGCACGTAAAAGAAGAGCTAACAATTAATCACTATCTTCCGCAGTTTATTAAGAAATTCGTAGGAGCACACAAGAAACGAAATGATAACAATCACACGAGTGCGAACAATAACACGAGTAGAAAGGAGTTCACAGTTCACAGTTCATTGTGTTGATCTGTAAGGAAGGTACATGGGAAACTTTACGTATGATCGTCAACGAGACTGGAATTAAGGTGACATCGAAATCTACAAACTCACTCAGACCTAAGCAATGTCGGCTAGCTTAAGGATCCGATAGAACCAATTGAGCAAAATAATTAATTGATCTATCAAATTCCATGTAATGACTGTGAGGTCAATTACATAGGTCAAACTAGTCTGGTTGGTCGGGGTCAGTTAGAATAGCTGAACATGGGAATTTAGTTAGATATAGAACGACAGACCTGAAGAAGATCAATAATCTAGAAAAACACTCGGCCATTGCAGTGTATGCATTAACGGCCGAGCACACAATAGGGTGGAATAAAACCCACTGTACTTAATTCCAATGTTAATGGATGCAGAGAGAGAGAGAGATTAGTGAATCTTTGTTCATTGAATCAACACACAACACATGTAGTAGGAATGACACAACACTTATACCAGAGATGTGGAAAAGTTTACTGCCAACAGGAACAAATGATAAGAGGTGATAGGACTATAAGAATCAGATGTCGAAAGTAGTGTGATTACATTGATATGGAGTAATCTACGATTGAAACGTCGTCATCAAGTAAATAATACTATATCACTCTGTTATAAATAAACAAATCTAATATGCAGAACAAACTAGTTAGCATTCTTTTTCCCCCAGAAACGTAGTCTTTTCATACAATAAAGAAAACTAATTGTCTACCGAAGTTGTCAGGTTGGCTTTCAGAGTCACTCAATAGAAATACTAGCTGTCGTTTTTTCTTCTATCTCATTTCCTTTCTGTCCTATCGTTTCTATGGTTACAGGTTATTATTTTTATTTCTTTATCCTTACCCTTGTCGATATCGAGGAGGATATGTTGATACTGGATTTTGTGTTTTGATTATCCAGTCAGATACATCGAAATACGTACTGCTAAACTCTATAGGATACTCTAAGATTGGTTATTATCAACTACTAATATAGCTGAAATATCCACTGATAAGACTCGATATAAGAAGCATGAAACATCAAATAGTACTGTTGTATAAAATGGAGTTTTAATATGACGACTGGGTTGAGTAATCTAGGTATTCAAGTCTCACAACACAAAAAAAGAAATAAAGGGTTTTTCCAAGTAAAGATCAGTGAATGAAATGCACTAGGGATCATAGATGCTCCTGGCTTCTGGCTACTTAGTTATCGGTATATTTCTCCATAGAGAATTCAATAAGGTAACATGTGAACAAACATCATTAGTTTTAATCATGTGTATTCTGGACAGACTGATTCGCTTTCACATTATACTGCACAAAGTTTTCTTTCAACTTATGCCAGTTTCAACCCTTTTGTAACTTATGGCGTTACAGATACTTGAAATGCAAAAAATTAAAGGGGATTGTATTCAATATCTCATATTTAATGCGTGAAGACAAATATACATTACACTATATGAGATACCAGTAATTATTATATTTGTTCATAAAAGCGTAAAACAAACTGACGATATATTATAACGTTTCAATGAGTACCAATCATTTATCAGTAATATTTTCGTTCAAACAAAATTGAATCATTGATCGAATTCATCAGTAAGGAATTTCTGGTTTAAAGTTGATTAGAGTTCAACAAGGAAGAAATAAATCATATTGATCATTGAACTCACCTAGTAGAGTGATCATAAAATCATGATACCGTTAGTATGTGATTATTATACAAGCATTTTCTGATCAAAGAAATCAGAAATGTTTATATTAAGTGAGTTCTGTTTCTGCCTAATCCACGAAAGGTATTTTGTCTTATTTAGACGAATGTTTTGAAAGTAGTTCATCTATACAAATAGTAAGTCATTTAGGCTTTTAAGTCAACAGAGCGTAACTTCTGTTTTTCACGGTTTACAAAACCTGAAAATTATGCTTTAATTTTGTATTCATTCAAAAAATGTATGACCGATACATCATCCTAGATTTATGCTTTTAATGAACAACAAAGCATTTTCAGCATAAAATAATGATTTTCCTACTCATGGTCTAAATGAGTATGCCTGAACTAGGTAATAGAGGTGAACCCTTACACAACAAAATATATAAAGCGTGATTTATTCTCCTATACAGTGAACCAATGAGAGGAGAAGAACCTGACCTTCGTGAACTTAGGGAAGGAAAGATACATATTACTTCTTAGTGAGATTTTTGAATTTTTTGTGATGAAAACTAATCATTGCTCAACCTTACAGTGTTTTGGGCCTTTACAACAATCTGACTAGTATCTAGTCACCCTTAATCCAAATACCTGTTCACTAATCCACTATTACTAGGCATGCTGGATGAGTTACTAGTATAACATTCAAGTCTTTCATATGCCTAAATTATCTGTCCATTTTTTATTCCAAGTCAATCATAAACCCGAAGCGTTACATTGTATCACCTTTATGAATGCACATCATCCTCACTTATTTGGAGACTTGGTGTTCTTAGCTGTGCCACTCGACTGAATCCATGTTGAGACTTATCCATCTAATGTTGATCTACAAGTTCCAATAAGAGTTTGAGGTAACTGCCAAGAAAAAGGGTGTCTCCTCATCTTGCGTATACACCAGTAGTCTGTTGCCTGGTTAAAACTGAATAACCTCTACCAAGTACAGCTGATGGACGTCGTAATGATAACCGAGAACTTTGACGCACAAAGTGTACTTCTAAACTCAGAGGAATTGTTAATTTGCACGGCAGGGATTGGTTGGTTGCAGGTCGGACAATAGGAGATATCTTTCGTAGCCTTGTGTGTATCAAAACGTATTTCTAGCCAGTGCCAAACCTCTATAAAATCATCACCGTTGGAATCCTTCCTCTACTACTCAAGGTTCAACTCAAAAATACTACATTGCAACTATCTGCCATTGGCATGGATTTACTCTGAACTGATGCTCCGTCTAGAACAGATGTCTGTACTCTGATTACGCTTTAGTGCCCTGAAATTCCATGTTGTTTCAGTAGCCCTTAAAATACGCATCCTAAATGGGTTGCAGTAGGCTGATTGTTATACCCAGGTTTTCTGATAAATATCAAGGCGA